TTCCCGTGGGTACCACTCATTATTGCACATCGTCGACAGGTTGTCAGCAAGGCTGGCAACATATACGTTTATCAGACTTTATTTTCTGGCGTGGATGCAATGATGTTCTGAACGTCATTCATCTGACGGAGAGTCTGATTGTTTATATGATCGTTGGAAGAAAAACCAAGCAACTATCGTTCCGTCACTGTCTCTGTCACTCCCAGCGCTCGCTTTTCAGCTTTCGTGAGTGACCACGGTTTGCATCCGCACTTCATTTCCTTCACCGGTCTCCATTTTTCCGATTCGACATTTTGAGAACATCGGCCACGCCAATCAACAACCTTTCGACGTGTAATCTCCTACTGGTGATTGTGTCGCATATTTCTTGGCCGAAATAGACGTAACTGTCAACTTCTTGCAAGCCCATTCCGTCTATCTGTAATCTTGCCGGGAGCAAACCGAGACTTTGCACCACTTTCGTTTCCGATGCGCTGATTTTCAGGCCCACTTTCTTACTTCGTGCGCTGAGCTCCTGCAACATCTCATTTATTTCGTGAGAGATGTTGGCAACAAGAACCATTTCAACCGCGAAGCGTAACTGATTTAGCTGCTCGCCGCTGATTTTCAAGCGACCTTTCCAACCTAACTTCCGGAAAAAAATTATTTTATATATCCCACAAAATCCCAAATCAGGCATCTTCTCGCCGTGATGCATAATTGGCAGCGGAATAGGCAGTGTCGAGGCATGGCGAGGTGCAAATGTTGGCAGCTCCAGACACGTCGAGAAGACACTGCGCCCAATTTGTACGACTAAGCCTGCGTGGTACGAACTAATATCAGCCTGAATATCGGTTGTTTTGCAGCAAAATTAATCAGCTATATGTGCAAAAACGCAAACGCAACCACGTAATATATTGTGGAGAACAAAATGAATAAAGAATCATTGCCGACATGCAACAGGCGAGCCGAAGTGATCATGAGTTTTTGCACTATTTCGTGCTGTAGCAAGATCGCAAGGAATCCCAGTGGCTAGAATTTGTGACATACTGGCATCAAAGTTCGGGAAGTTCATTGTGCAGCTATGTAGTGTGTCAGTTGTAGATGTCGGGTTCAGTGATCCGACAAACAGAAAGTTGTTGGTACACCAAAAAGACTCCAGGAGAAGGGCTGAATTTGAAATCTTCTAGTCACACATGAGTAGCGGACATTCCTTTAAAAGCCTAGTTTTCCAGCTTTTTTTATGCGTTTTGTGCTGTGTAACAGCAGTACAAACCCATATTGTCACGGGATTGTCTGTGTGTGTGTGTTTCTGCAACAACTTCTCCGTAACTTTCAACTCGGGAACCACAAAGGTTAGGAAACTGAAAATTTGGGGGAACATTCCCCACCCGCGTGTGACCCAGCAAATTTAAGTTCACCTTCCCCCTACCGGCTGGTAACATGTATGGCTCCATGAAAGTTTTTTAAAAGGTAAATTAATATCTCGGGAACCACGGAGTTTAGGAGGCTAAAATTTTAGGGTAATGACTCCCCTGCCCACGCTCAACCTTGCCTATTCAAATTCAGCGTTCCCACGCTCTTGAGTGTCACCTACGGCCTCATGAAAATTTTGGCAGGTAAACTATTGACTCGGGAATCACGGAAAGATATTCATCCTCCAAGGTTTCGAATTCAGCTTTCATGTGCTGGTGCGTGAAATTTTTAACTGTTTTCTAATGTTTGAACTTTTTTTGCATAGACTAAAGTACAAAGCAGTGAAAATCATTAATAGGCAATCGTT